ACTGCAATTCTCTAAGCCAGCTATGACAGTATTTATAAGACGCTGGAATGTAGCAGGTGCATTCCTCATCCCGAAGGGCATGACTTTGTACTGCAGAAACGCATCTGGAGTAACAAAAGCGGAGATTTTCGACGCATTCTCAGTAAGAGGCACTTGCCAGTAACCTTTTAACAAGTCTACTTTTGATATATACGTAGACATACCTATGCTATCCACGCAGTCATCAACACGCGGTAATGGGTACGAATCCGGCTCAGTGACGGCATTAACTTTTCTATAGTCTGTGATTAACCTGGTTGACCCATCAGGCTTCTCCTCTACCAAACAAGGAGACCCCCATGGACTACAGCTTACTACCGCTAGACCATTTTGAACCAGGTAATCCGTTTCCTGTTTCATTAGGCGGCGTTTTTCTGGACTTGCCCTGTAAGGGTGCTGGTTTATAGGTTGAAGTTTGGTCAGAATCACGTCATGGTGACACACGTTCGTAATCGTAGGGACATCTGAAAACAAGCTAAGATGTGCATTAATTAACACAGTCACATCTTCACGTTGCTGTTCTGTTAAATGTGTTAATTTCTCATCCAAATTCAACAACACTTCAGAATTTTTCAAGCGCGGACTTACGGCATGTAAAGCTCGAATCACTACTTCCTCCTGTGGATCGGACGTGGCGATGAGACCAGCTGCGCACACTGGTGCTCCATCCTGCATCTGATCCGCTGAGACCTGGGGAACATAAGTTTTTAATAGATTCCCATGACAGATTTTTACAGCTTTCCGACGGTGTGATGTTTTAACGGCATAAATGTTTTCATTGATTTTGTGGCTGATTTCAAATGGAACCTCAAAACGTGTACTCAATGTGTCACCAACACTAGGACTTAACATTAACACTTTCTCTCCTGGCAAGTAATCGCGCAGTTTAGCCTTTTGATCGAAGTGGCTTTTCATCACCTTCTGCGCGTTTTTCAAATGCTCTCGTGCTATTTGGTTTGCAAATCTTAAGCGACTCCTAAAACATTTCACGTATTCGTTTACGTTCATTTTGAGTGAACCTGGTGACTGCAGAAACCGCTCCTTTAAAGCCTGTAACGGTCCCCTAGGAGTGTGCCCAAAAACAAGTTGCGCTGGGCTGTATCCCAGCGACTCCTGCGTAGCTTCTCTAGCTGCAAACAACAAGAAAGGCACACCTTCATCCCACTGTTTAGATGTTGTAAAACAGTATTTCCTCAACATCGACTTAAATGTTTGGTGCCATCGTTCCAAGACTCCCTGTGATTCAGGATGGTACGGGGCAGACATAATATGTTGGATCCCCAATACTTTTGTGACCTGTTTGAAGAGGTCAGACGTGAAATTTGACCCTTGATCTGTTTGGATCACCCGCGGTAGACCAAAGAGCGAGAAGAAATTTGATAAAGCTCTGATCACACTCTTGGTAGTTATGGTAGCCAATGGTATTGCCTCTGGAAATCTGGTGGCACTGCACATTATGGTCATCAAAAACTTTTTCCCAGACTTTGTGCGTGGCAACGGACCCACACAATCTACGACGACGTGATCAAAAGGCTGTCCTATTACAGGAATGGGTGACAACGGCATCGGTTTAATGGGCTGATTTGGCTTTCCCACCATCTGACACGCGTGGCAGGCTCTGCAAAACTTTGCTATATCCCGTTTCATCCCTGGCCAAAAGAAATGATCTAGGATAGACAAATAAGTTTTCTTCACTCCCAAGTGTCCTGACCATCTACTTTCATGAGCTAAGGCTATTATCTGTCTTCGAAAACACTCCGGTATTACAGTCTGGTGTACCACTCCCCAGGGAGCTTTCCCCTCTACTGGATTTTCCCAGCTCCTCATCAGTAGATCGTTTTCCAAAAAGAATGTTGTCGAGAATTTAACAGACGAATGTACTGCATCAAAACACTTCTTTAATGTTTTGTCCCTTTTCTGTTCATCTATTAATGTTGAACGTGAAACCAAACGGTCCTGGGACTCAAAATGTAGATTCTCTTCTGCAACATCTTTATCAGTAACGCCTACATCTGGTAGCTGGTGCATGTCTGAAGTACAACTGGAGTCAGAAAACAGATCAGAAAGCCCTTGGAATTCATTTGCCTCATGACGTACAGCTGATCTGGTCACTACACACGATGGAACAATACCTCGTGGGGACATCACACAGGCAACTTTCTCTGGGTGTTCAATGACCTGAGGCACAGGAACAACAGCTCCTCCTGCTATGTCATTTCCCAGCAGCAGATGAACCTCTGCAATAGGTAAAGTTTTACACACAGCCACTTTAAAAACACCTGACACAAGGTTACTTGTGATTTTCACTTCACAAAGTGGACATGACATAACTTCACCCGTCAAACCCTTCAACAACACAGACGTTTCTGTATTGACTGTTGCCTCAGAGGGAAGCGCAGACTCCAGTACCAATGTTTGAGATGCTCCAGTATCTCTGAGGATTTTTATTGGCACGCTCTCCCCCTCCCCCATACTTAAAGAACCCTCCAAAATAAATGGTTGATATGAGGGGTCAAGCAAGCCTGGCCTTTTCTGAGTTTCATCTGATGCAACAAATGCTACCACACGATCATTTTTCCTCTCTCTCCTCTTCAGGATCAGACAATCTTTGACAATATGACCCACTTGGTGACAGTAAAAACACCTTGGTGGACTTGTTTCTGAGTTTCTTTCAAAGTGCCTAGGTTTTACAGCATGCGATCTGTCCCTGACTACTTTTTCCACTTTAACACGGTGGGTTAGCATGAACTCATCAGCCAGAAGTGCTGCAGCTGACAGATTATTCACTTTCTGCTCATTTAAATACAACACCGTTCTTTCAGGAAGACATCTTTTAAACTCCTCCAGTAGAACCAACTCTCGTAATTCGTTCAGGTTGGTCACTTTGAGGACTGCAGCCATTTATCAAACAGTAAACCCTTCTCTCTCGCAAATTCAACAAATGTTTGCCCCTCATCACGTTTACGAAGAGATCTAAATTTCTGCCTATAAGCCTCAGGTACTAATTCATAGGCATGTAAAACTGCGTCTTTAATAGTATCATAATCCCCACAGTCAGAGACAGACAGAGCAGTCATTACCTCCTGCGCTTTCCCAGACAACTTACATTGAAGGAGAAGAGGCCACACTTCACGCGGCCAACTGAGTGTCGTAGCGATACGCTCAAATGCGGCGAAGTAACTATCCACTTCGGCCTCGCGAAACGGCGGCATCAGCCCCATGCACTTCCCGACATCCAGTCTCTCAGTCGCTGCCAGGGAGCCTCTAGATGCTGCATCAGCACCATGGACAGTTCTTTCAGCCTGCATCTCCAGCTCCACTCGTCTCATCTTTAGTCTCGTGTCAGCTTCCAGTTCGAGTTCCAGTTTGCGAAGCTCGAACTCCCGCCTTCGCTGTTTGTCCTCGGCCTCATATTTCAGGCGTGCGAGCCGCACCTGTAGCCGGGCGTGATCAGGTGACACCGGTCCCGAACCAGGCCGCGGTTCCGGAGACTCTGGATCGTAACGAGGAAGAGTCACTGGGGGAGACTTGGCGACCTTACCCCGCTCTGGAGTCCTCATGATCTCCGCTCCATCCTCGGAATCACCACCCTCAGATGCGCTCCTCGCCTCTTCACCTTCCGTATTGTCCATATCCTGCTGTGAAGGCAAAATAGCAATATCAGCCAAAGGGGAGAGAAGCTTTTTATTTTCCATGAAGGAGATAATCTCGGCCCTGAGATCAGTCTTCAGCATGTGCTGTGAGCCGGCAAGACCAAAGTAGGCAGCTACTTCCAGTAAATCGCTCTTGCAACACTTTTCCAGTTGTCTACGTGAAGGTGCAGCAAGAAAATCTTTCAAAATAAATGTAGACATCGCCTCTCAAAAGCAATAACAAATGACAGAAATGACAAAAGGTTACTATACCAAATACCCCAAACTTATGCCCCCCTCCCGGGCCGAAATCCTACCCACTATTTTGAGTAATAAAACCACAAAAATCCCGGACGAGCCCCCATGTTATATCTTCACAACTGAAAAGGGGGGTGAGGTTCTAATGTCCCAAAACAAATACAAATGTACCAAAATGGAGTACAGAAGAGCAGTAGCTTCTTTTGACTTTCTTAAGTGCACACACGTCTGTCTAAACGTCTTCTAGGACCAATAGAATGACGTAAGCAAAATACTTGAGAGTTATAATCTCTTTTTATTACTTAGTGAATTTGCCAGACATTAAATGTGCACAATGAAGCAGCTGCGGAGACGAGCTCAAGGTTAAAGAGTCGCTCTCCGTCGGAGCGTCCATGAACTGCTTAAATCCTTTTTGAAGAGGTGAGGCGAGCAATCAGTTCATTTGCTGCAGGTGTGATCCCTGATCCGCGTCCTGGAGATTTCTCCCCTCGATATTGCCGCTGTCTGTCCTTGTTGCGGGGATCCTCCCCCGTTGTCCCGGCAACCCTGCACCTCGTTGCAGCAGGAGCTCACGCCCCCACTTCTCTCCTCTGCTCTCCTCTTCTCCTCCAAAGACCCGAAGTTGTGTGAAGTCCCCGGTAACAGAGAAAACAATTACTCAAAGCCCATAACAATATCATAACCACATAAGTGGAGAAAATGTCCAGTAGCAATGAGAGAATTTGCTGTTGCATTTAAGTGATGTTAACTATTATTTAACATTCAAACTTATTTTCAGATATTTTTATTTATTCAAAAACCCTGGTAAGGGATGTTTTTCCTGTATTTGGAGCATCAGAAAAAGTTTTATGGTGGAGGTGATGTTTTAAAGTCACTGAGAAACTGCATGCATGCAGTTTGTTGTTTTGCTGCTAATACAGTAGCAGGTGCAGCTGCTAATACAGTAGCAGGTGCAGCTGCTAATACAGTAGCAGGTGTAGCTGCTAATACAGTAGCAGGTGCAGCTGCTAACACAGTAGCAGGTGCAGCTGCTAATACAGTAGCAGGTGCAGCTGTTAATACAGTAGCAGGTGCAGCTGCATGTTTTTGCAATAAAAATGTTATGTTGTAATGGAATTCATGCATTAGTTTTTGTTTGCTTTGAACCCAGAGCAGACGTCACACGCCAGACGACATCAACACTGCATACTTTAGTATTTGTTCATTTATCGCGAGTAATATCGATATCGCAATATTAAGCACTGTTATCGAATATCGCAGGTTTTCCTAATATCGTGCAGCCCTAGTTGAGTCCAATCAGGAGATGGATGTTCCAAATTTCGGATCCTGAATGTGGTTTTGTTTGCTGTCCATTAACTCATTCACTGCCATTGACGACAAAAGTCGTCATTTTAAATCCAAATTTTTTAAATTGCTGGCAGCAAAGGGCTTTACTGACCAGGAACGTCTGGTAGTGAATGAGTTAATAAACACTAATGTAATGAACACATGCACCATAAACACTGAACAAAGGCGCAATGAACATGCTTAAAAAACTATTTATTAACTCATTCACTGCCATTGACGACAAAAGTCGTCATTTTAAATCCAAACTTTGAAAATTGCTGGCAGCAAAGGGCTTTACTTATCGGGAAATGTCTGGAAGTGAATGAGTTAATAAACACGAATGTAATGAACACATGCGCCATAAACACTGAACAAAGGCGCAATGAACATGCTTAAAAAACTATTTATGAACTCATTCACTGCCATTGACGACAAAAGTCATCATTTTAAATCCAAACTTTGAAAATTGCTGGCAGCAAAGGGCTTTACTTATCGGGAAATGTCTGGAAGTGAATGAGTTAATAAACACGAATGTAATGAACACATGCGCCATAAACACTGAACAAAGGCGCAATGAACATGCTTAAAAAAACCAATTTATTAACTCATTCACTGCCATTGACGACAAAAGTCATCATTTTAAATCCAAACTTTGAAAATTGCTGGCAGCAAAGGGCTTTACTTATCGGGAACGTCTGGAAGTGAATGAGTTAATAAACACGAATGTAATGAACACATGCGCCATAAACACTGAACAAAGGCGCAATGAACATGCTTAAAAACCAATTTATTAACTCATTCACTTTCATTGACGACAAAAGTCATCATTTTAAATCCAAACTTTGAAAATTGCTGGCAGCAAAAGGCTTTACTTATCGGGAAATGTCTGGAAGTGAATGAGTTAATAAACACGAATGTAATGAACACATGCGCCATAAACACTGAAAAAAGGCACAATGAACATGCTTAAAAAACTATTTATTAACTCATTCACTGCCATTGACGACAAAAGTCATCATTTTAAATCCAAATTTTGAACATTGCTGGCAGCAAAGGGCTTTACTGATCAGGAACGTCTGGCAGTGAATGAGTTAACAATAATGCACCTAAGATTTTGGAAAAGAGATTAGTTTTCAACCAAGTTTACACAGACACATAGCCACAGGAATTTCTGCATAAACTGCATGTTCAAAAAACAACAAACTCACCCCATTGTTTAAGACAACCCAACTGCTGGGAACAGCTTCAACTGTGTTGTCTTCCAAAAACTCAACAATGACAAACACGCTGTTAAGAAAAAGAAATGCGAAACATCGGGTTACTCAATTGATTATTCAAGACCAAGCATTGGAAACGGTAAAAAATGTGGTACCAAACTCACTTATTTGTTTTTATTCCAACTTCAAATGGGCACGAGGCAAGGCAGTTAAAACAAGTTGCCAGTCTATCTCACACACACACACACACACACACACACACACACACACACACACACACACACACACACACACACACACACACACACACACACAAATCAAGGGTGTCTATGTAGATTTTACATCTACATAGAATGAAGGACTCCCATGAACACAACATTTCCTCCATTATTTTCTATCCTTATTGCTCTTTTTCTGAGGTCTGGGACTGGGACTTTTTCTATGCAAGAATTCTGTTTCTTGAACTGATAGACATCAACCAAGAAAGATTGGCATGGTACTGTGAAAAGAGGCACTGGATTCTTGTACACACGACAGAGTGCCAAGTTATCGTCCAAGATTTCAAGTAGCTCAGTACATTTTCTGTTCTCCAAAATGTAAGAATTGTCTTGCTTCATGGTTGTCCTCCATTTTGCTTTTGTGAGTGGTCCAGTATATTGTCTTTCTGCCAGTCTTTTTGCTACTTGAGCAAGGGGATTCTTCCCTGATCATACCAGATGTTTTAACCCATGAAGGTAATTTTCAAATGGAAATGCACTGCAGTTGTCAAGACTGTTGAACTTGGTTGCATCCTCGGCCATGTGAAGCAATGAGTGAACATTGTACACCATGAATTCATCGCCATAAAGAATCCTTGCTTCATTCACAAAATACCTCAAAAGATCGTGGGCATATGCGCCTTGAGTCATCACAAGTTCTGGGCATACAAGAATATTCATTGCCACACAAAAGATAACAAAATGTTCATACAGCTCAGATCTCAGAATGCCTTTCAGTGGAAGTTTCCCTGTATATAACATGAACTGGCGAAACTCTGTGGCCTTCCATCTCTCCAAGAGGCAGAGACTTCGAGGCGATCTTGCAAAATCTGAAGGAATGCTGTCTTTTAGGGCAAGCATACGCCCACTAACCTGGGACTGCTGCTGTGGAGACATCCTCACAGCTCTTGATCCAGAAAGTCTAGGTTTGCTGGCTTGCTTTCACCACAAGTTAAAACAACTGGGAAGATTGACACTGGGTCTAGCTCCACAGCACAAAGAACAGGCCACATGGTAAGTGCCAGAACTCTTTAACAATGGCAGACCATCAACATTAAAAGACAAATTAAGTTATGTCACTTCCATCAAACCCCTCTCTCTGAGCACTGTACACAACTGTTTTTCCATTGAATAATATAAATATTTCATTGCAGACCTCTCTTGGACTTCAACAACCCTTGATGTATGCAAAAGAGTCCTGCAACAAGATGGCAGCTCTTGATGTCCTCTCCCTCTTAAAATCTTAAGCAATGAATCAATGGCATCACTTTTTACAAGGAATTCTGTGGCCCATTTACTAAGCTGCTCAGCAAGAGAGGGACCCCCCTCTTCAGAGTTTGTATCAGTCTCACAAAAACTTGTATTTGAAAATTCATTCATTTCCATTCATTCTTTTTCTGTGTGCATGTGTTCAGAGTCACGGTCCTCATCTTGAGGAATTCCCAAGTCTGAATTAATTTTGCCAACCTCAAGCACACTAGACACATTATCCTCCACACTATTAGAATGTGATGCCCAGGGTCCGAAATTAACACTCGCCACTTGTCAAATGCGAGCAAATTGCTCCATTTGACGAGTAAATTTTTGACCTCTATCTGCCACATGGCGAGTAAATGTTTGCACCAAATTAGTTATGTTTATCAGTCATCTTCCATGGATTTCTGATACTCCTCCCGCCTGCTTGCAACGTACACAAACGTACGCGTAACGTGAGCGCCGCATCCAACGTCATTTCCACCTATCCCATTCAATCAATTTATCAAGTTAGCAGTTAGCTTTGTGTTTAAACTAGTGGTGAAATGTGGCGGTTTTTAACTGGAGTCAGCCAGCCTTCCAAATGAAAACTCGTCGAACTGGAAGAAAAACCACCAGGACCAGTGGCAACCAGAAGATTTTGTGAAAAGTGGCGAACTGGAGATGGCGGAGTCGTGAGACAATGGCTACATTATGATGGCCACGTAGCGTTGCTGCCTTTCACAGACACTTTTTCTGCTCGTGCTGCAAACAGGATAGCCGTCTTCTATCAACTGTCCCCCGGCATTCTTCAAATATCCAAAAAATGCCCGTACTTCCGACTTTGTCTTTAGGGATAATAAATGTCCCGAGTGCTGCGGTCTCCTCCTTTGGCCATTATTTCAGCTTTAGCTTAAAGAAAGTTTTGGGTGTAAACAACAAAGTGCGCATGTGCCGCCGGCAACTTCAGCAGATGATACGGTGGCTGGTAAGGGTCACCGCGCCTACACCGCAGCCACGGTAATCCACCGACATATGTTTGTTAAAAAACAAGATGGTTATTATTATTGTCAACTTTTTTACCGAGGTTTACCGCTACACAGGTTACTGTGACAACCCTAGCCCTGACACACTTTCAGATATTCTCATGGTGCAGCTGTGTTCTCCAGAGATCAAGGACTATGACCCAAATGAGGCTGCAATGCTTTGGCACAAAGACGGTGTCAGAAGCAGGAGGCCAGACATCATGGACAGAGAAAACAAGGAGTCTGACAAGATTTCAATGAAAGAATTCATAAAAACATCTCTAAAAATAAATAAATAGTAAAAATGACAAAAGAGTTGTTTTTCTTATTAATTGATGTTTTAATTATTTTGTCACTCTGTTTGGAATCAACATAACATAGAATTACATGCTTTAGGTAGATCTAAATCATTTAGAATTTTGGCCGGTAAAAAATATGCTTGGTTGGTAGATTTTCATCATCTACCAGCCAACTTGGCCGGTGAGTAAAAAATTTAATTTCGGACCCTGGTGATGCCTCCTCCAGCACCTCTGATTTATATTCATAATCCCCACGTGCCACCTTTTGGCAAGAGAAGCTCACTGTAAGTCTGTCTTGCAAGGACCTAATTTCTCGAGTTGCCCTCCTCCAGCTTCTTAAGTACTTGCGTGAACGCTTCATCCTACAAAAACAGGAAATGTTTATGAAAATTTAGCCTTTTGTGCACAAGTGCAGCATTGCATCATGGGAATGATGAGACGAACTTTTAAAATAAAATGTTAATAAAGGTTGACAGTCTGGGTCAGCCTTTATGTATCTGCTCCTTTTATATAATAAATCTGTAAAGCTGCTCCTTTTATTGTGTTTTCACTGGCACCAGGAGTCAGAGCAGCATGTGAGGGAAAGAGGTCCCCATGCGTGAGCTGAGCAACTCATACTTACCTGGTAGGGGAGATACCATGATCAAGAAGGTGGTTCACCCAGGGTGAGGCTCAGCCATTGCATTAAGTGTTGTGTTGACCCCCATTGTATATAGTTGGGTCCAGGGTGGTGCAATGTCCAGGGTTGACTACGGACAGTTCGGCTTCCGGAATCCGGAGGATGGAGAACAGAAGCAGGACGTGTTGGTGGGGGTCAGGAAGCAGGTCGCCTACAGCAGTACCAGGTGACTGGAGCAACAGCTTAGTATCGAGGCAGCCCCGTCACTCAGGACTTTAAAAATGACACGACTGGTGTCACTGGGAGCTCTGGTTCACCAGTTCTTACTGGTAAGGTAGTTAACTAAACTGGGTTGGCTTCATCACTACTCCTCAACTACTCAGCCTCTGCGCTGCATACCTGGCCCAGGCAGCTGGGGTTGCAGACTCTGCCAGTATCACCCCCCCCCCCCCATACAAGGCACGTCGTAAAGCTAGCACAGCTAAAGCTAACACACATCCCTACACAGACACGGGGAGAGAGGGCCGAGTGCAAAAACCTGCTGCTTCCTGAAGCGTTCGCCCGTCTCTGGAAGTCTTCAGCAGACGGACCAAGAACATAACTTTAACATCTCGTACTCGAAGAACATTCGCATGGAACAACTTTACAAAAATACATCTGGTCACATGACCATCCTCTGTCATAATGAGCTCTTATTTTTCGATCTGCTCCTTAGCTTTGTGCATTTCAGGCTGACACACACACACACACACACACCTGCTTTACCAACTCTGCACCCTCCCGTCACACACATGACAGACCAAGTCCTGTTCTCTTCTGCTGGCTCGGACCCCTGATGCCCCTCAGGAGCACCACTCACGCTCCTCTCCTGCAGACCTGATGGACCGCAGCACACAGGTCTGCAATGCAAAAGGAACCAGATGCTGGTCGTCTCTGGGATGAGCGACTGAATCCTGCGGATGTACTGGAAGCATCAGCTGTTACAGCCTGACCAGCAGGACTGAAGGCAGCTCATCTCTTAAGGAGGCAGACGTCCTCCTCCACGTCTAGTCGGTGTATTCTGCCACAATGGACAGCAATACTGTGATGTCATCTGGCTTTCCTCCTCTCACATTCAGCCCATAATCACAGGCATACTGTGCAAAAGGGGACATGTAGTTGGGGTCGTATGCCAGCACATGGGCTTGTTCTGCGATGCTGCGGGCCGTCTGCTGAATGCTCTCGTAGTTTGAGTTCTTCAGCTTCTTAAGCTCCTGCAGGATCATATAATCAGGCATGTTGTCAAACAGCCCGTCAGTGGCGGTGAGGATGATGTCACCCAGCTGCACGTCAAAGGAGGAGCTGTCTGCTGCATCGGGGCTGTCACTGAGAACGGCTCCCTCGGCCTCAGGGGGGGCGATGGACAGCTGGAAGGGCGTGTTGAAATAGTGCTGCTGCTCGTCTGAGCGGTGCACCACCTCCCCTGATAAGAACAGATTTTTTTTTTCCAAAATTTTTATTGACAATTATCAGTTTACAATGCCTTTAAATTTTTTACAATAAAAGGAGCTATTCAACTAGATGATCTCTGTCATTTGTCTGAAGGCTGTGATCCTTTTAAGTTGCAGTTCTCCATGACCCTCAACCTGGAGGTCCCCAGACTGGGGGGCGGATGGCAGTCATGCCAGCATCAAAATGTACCCAGATCCTCCTCCACAAACCAAAGACCCTTTTTCCTCTGACCCCACAACTGGGGTGTGGTTTGGGATCCTCCATCTATGCGCTTGAGTGTCAGGGTGTTGCTGCCTCAACCTTTTCTCGTGGACTCCGGCTCCACCATCCGAATGTCACAGAGGCGATTCTTCTTTGTGGCTGTGTCCTTGGCTCGCCGCCCGCAACCCTGACGATGTCCTCAGGGCTGCAGCCATCCGGATCACAGCCACGGGGGGGATCTGCATGTGATTTCTCACCAGCAAGTTTCTGGAGGTCCAAATGGCGTCTTTGATGGCGGCTAGGGTGAGCCTTTCCTCGTCACTGAGTTTTTCTGCTTTTGCCGTACTCTGGCTCATCCCATAGAGCACTAGGTGTGCTGTCAGGACCTCCCTTGCTGGCAAGTACGGGAAGTCCTGGGCGCCGGCTGTTGTCCACAGGTCGATAGCAGCACTGCACTCCCAGAGGAGGTGCCGTACCGTCTCCGGTGCGCCACAGCCGGATCGGGGGCATGCCGCTTTGGCTGCCATTCCTCTGGAGTGCATAACATCCCTGACGGGGAGGATCCCATGTGCCACTTGCCATGACAGGTCCAACAGTCTGTTTGGGAGACCAGGGTGGCTGATGCCTTTCCACACCGCCTCCGCCTCCCCACCTGCAAGTCCTGCAACAGGAATCGGGTCACTTCGAGCCTGTACAACAGAAGTTAAAAAACGCTGGTTTAAAAGAGTGTCCTTACTTTCATTTTCCAGATTAAAATGTGTTAAAATGTCTTGATGACCTCGTAAGCAGGTGGCAACTGAAAGGCTACAGGTACTCTCAAATTACTTGGCATCAGTTTTAGTTTACGGAGGTATGAACCCATACAATAGTAAGACATTGCACGTGTCTTTACACCAGCCTGTTCAGTCATTACTACTCGCATGTGGGTGCAGGTGTAATGTGCACCCAGACACAAATATAGGTCTGGAACCCCCATGCCTCCTTTTCCTTTGGGTTTCTTCATTTCTTCTCTCTTTAGTCTCTCCCACTTGGATCCCCATAAAAACTGGAAGATTGTCCTCTCAAGACTCCTTATCGTTTTCCTAGATGGTAAAAACACACTTGCTGCCAATAAAAGCAAAGGGATTATCACAGCTTTTATTATCAGCACTTTTCCATTCAAGGTTAGGTCTCTTTGTTTCCACAGGCCTGTTCTCTGTCTCACTTTTGCTGATATTTCTGTCCAATTTTCCTCACCTTTACCTTCTTTATCAAATTTAATCCCTAATATCTTTTGTTCATTTGAGTTTACTTTTGCCTGTGTTCTTTCACTTGCTGTCCATGGTCCATACAGCTGTAGTTGTGTTTTGTTCTCATTTAGTTTGGCCCCAGATGCTTTCCCATACTGCTCAGTTAGTATAAAAGCTCTGTTTATAGATGCCATGTCAGTACACACGATATTAATATCGTCCATATATAAAACACATTTTAGGTCTTGACCTCCACTGCCTGGTATCCTTTGTCCTGTAATCCATTTATCTTTTCTTATCATTTGTGCTAATGGCTCAATGTATATCACGGACAAAATCGCTGACAGCGGGCACCCTTGTCTCACACCTGACCTGATCGGTATTTTTTTTGTTAGATGTCCATTTAGCAGACATTTACTGTAAACATTATTATATATTAACTTTATCCAGTGTTTGAATCTTTCAGGTAGACCTATTTTCTCCAATAACTCAAACAAAAACACATGCGAAACTCTATCAAAGGCTTTTTGAAGTCTAGGTTGGCTATTATTAACTTAGTGTTCTTTTCTTTAGCCATTGCAATATTGTCCCGTATAAGGATTAGACCATCTGTGATCTTTCTCCCTTTAACTGCACACGTCTGGTCTGAGTGTATAATTTGTCCCAAAAACGGTTTTAGTCTCGTTGCTAAAAGTCTACTAAAAAGTTTGCAGTCTATGTTTAAAAGTGTAATCGGTCTCCAGTTCCTCAAGTCCATTTTGTTGTTTCCTTTATAAATTAGGGACACGATTCCACATCTAAAACTCTCAGGTAGCTGGTCCAATTGATCAAATTCTTTAAAAACCTCCAAGATATCTGGTCCCAAGATCTCCCAAAATGTCAGATAAAACTCCACGGGTAAACCATCTGCTCCTGGTGATTTACCTTTTTTAAAGGCTTTTAAATTCTTTTCCATTTCAATCATATTAAACTCTTTGCACATTTCTTCTTTTCCTTCTCTAAACTCTGTCATGTCTTTTAAAATTTCATTAAACATTTTCATCTCTATCTCCCTTTCGTTGTACAAATCTTCATAAAACTCTTCAACAGTCCTCTTTATTCCTTCCGTGGTTTTTTCTTCTGTTCCTTGTTTGGTTCTCAGAACTGTTATCGTATCTGTTTTACTCATTATTTTCCTAAAGAAGTATCGTGTACATTTTTCTCCTTCCTCTGCTTCTTTAGTTTTACTTCTTAAAATCATACCTTTACTTCTCTCTTTCGCCATCTCTGTCATTTGTCTTTTTATTTCTCTTATTTTGCTTGCAAAATTAATCCCATTTTGGTTTAAAACATAGTATCTTTGCAATCTTTTTTGCAATCCTTTTAAGACTCGTATTTCTTTGTCCTTTTTTTCTTTTCCTTTGTTACAGAAAAAGGTTTTTGTTCTTTGTTTATCCATTTCCCACCACTTAGCTGTTTTCAAACATATCCCAAAGTGTTTGCCAGTCCTTGTAAACCATCTCATATTCTGCTTTTATACGGGGGTCTTCTAAAAGTGAGCAATTTAATTTCCATAAACCTCTTCCTGGTACTAGGTCCGATATTATTTTACATTTGCATGTTAGCACGCAGTGGTCAGAAAAAAAAACTGGAGTTAGCTGAACATTCAGAGGTACACAGTCTCTTGCCAGTAAGTAATCAATTCTTGACGCTTTGGAGCCATCACCACTGCTCCATGTAAAGCCTTCCTTTTCTGGTTGCAAGCTTTTAAAACAATCTATCAATTTAAAATCTTGTGTTATCTTTCTCAATAAATGTGAGGTTTTATCAAGTTTAAAATCTTCCCCGCACCCTTTTCTGTCTTTACTATTCATTAGACAATTAAAATCTCCTCCTACAATTATTGGCAGCTTCCCAAGCAAATGTTCTTGTAAGCTTTCTAACAAATCCCATCTTTCATTTTTGCTATTTGGTGCATAAATATTTAAAATTTTAAAATCTTGTCCTAAATAGGTTAGTATTGCTATAAGTGCTCTACCATCTTTTATCACTTTACTCTCTTTTATTATTACCCTTGGATTGTTTATTAAGATTGCTACACCATCATTTTGATTTTCATTTGATCCACTCCAGATTGAAGGATATGACCACGCCTCTTGCCACCAATGATAGCTTTTAAGAAATGGTAGATTACATTCTTGCAGCAATAAAACATCATTTCTCATATCTTTTAGAGATGTTAAAACCGTATGGGCCCTTAAATTTGTCTTAATACCCCTCACATTAATTGTTGAGATCGTGAGGGACATGAAAATGAGAACAAACCACATTACTCATATTGTCATTTTTGCATACAAAGGCTCTTGCCATCATTCATCCATTATCCTTTTCTTTTTCCACGGTGTTCTGTTTTACCCTTTCTCCAGGGCTGGACTGGGACAAAAATTCAGCCCGGGCATTTTGACTGGAGACCGGCCCATCACCTGTTTTTTTTGGAAAAGACATTAAGCTTTACGCTGTTTCTGACACACACCAACGTACACTTTCTTATTGGTAGTATTTATGTATCAATCTAATAAACGTAAACCTACACCATCCTTCCTATCCTGGTATTCTAAAAAGTAGGGTTGGGGGTAACTGATTATTTTTAAAATGATTATTCTGACGATTATTTTATCGAATAGTCGACTATTCTAATGACTATTTAGATGATTAATCTAGCGATTACTTTTCTATTGCACAATTAATAAAAACCAAAAAATTCTAAATAAATTCCTCCAAAAAATTGATAAGTTGTTACTGTAAGAGAATAAACACTACAGGCCTTCCATTTTGTAAAACACTGCTTTTATTGTGTTGCGGTTGGTTATGTTCTGGTGATGTGTAGAACTTGGGAGTGCAGGCTGCTGCCTGAGAGGTGGTTGGAGACGGAGTGTCTCCATGCTGCTTTGTTTTGGTCACTTATGTGCATGAGGCAAGTGGTGTTACGACCCTTCCTGGGGAGTCGCGTGTTTCTCCTATTTTAACTGTAAATGCTTCTAGCTGTTATATTTATAACAAGAAACAGATATTCGGACGGAATATTTTCATGTTTATTCGAATATGATTGTGGAACACACCCAGCATCATAATAAATGAAGTAATATTTATGCCAATTTAAGCCTTTATGGGTGACCAGGACTCTGTGTTTATGAATGTGGAAGACACCCAGCATCCTGTGATGGCACTAATAACATCAAGAGATAATAAATAAGGTAATATTTAGGTCAATTTAACCCTTTACACGTGACCAGGACACTGTAATCAATTTTTGGCAAGGGAAATGATCATTTGTTGCCATTTTTTAGGTGTTTATGAATGTGAAAGACAACCGGCATCCTGTGATGGCACTAATAACATCAAGAGATAATAAATAAGGTAATATTTAGGTAAATGTAACCCTTTACAGGTGACCAGGACACTGTAATCAATTTTTGGCAAGGGAAATTATCTTCTTTTCTTTTTTTTTTGCCATTTTTGGGGTGTTTATGATGATACAGTAGGCAGTATGAGTACAGTAACATCAACAGATAATACATAAAACCCTTATTTGGTCAATTTTAGCCTCCATGAAAATCTTAGCGATTCAATCACTTTTTGGCAAGTAAAATGCCATTTTAGTTGTCTACAATTAAATCATCAATAAAGAATTTAAAGATATTTTGAGGCATTTCTTATAGGTAAACGGGAGGGTGTAGTCTATTTGGCAAGTGACAATCTTAATTTTATGTGCTGAAGTGCTTTTATCTTGTTACTTTTAAATAGAGCAACGTAATGTATAGATAGTAACCTACACAGTGTCATTAAAGCCAAAGC